ATACTTGTATTCAATAAATTATACAATCAAATAAATATAGCTTTTTGAGAAATGCCATATACATGTAATAACATTCTTGGAAGCAAATATTCCTATATAAATTTTCCATGTTAGCGGCTAGTTGATATACACATCTTTGTATTATAATCAATATACATGTAATATGTTAATAAAAAAAGACGTGTGTTTCTTGCCCCTCTAAATTAATATTCGTGCGTTTAATAATGAATTTATTACAATCGGGGGTGTAGAGATTTCGTACTGATAGATTCGTACGTATGGTTGAATCTACTGTAAATAACAATAAGCAATTCAAAAATAGTAAACAATGAACGATAAGCACCAAAATTTAAATTACGTACTTAAATGGTGAGAAAATGTCCAGAAACGATTACCACCCCATTTTTTAGAACCCAAAAAGTGGTGGTATACGGTCTAGACCAAAGAAGTTGCGTATGGTGAAAAAAATCAATGTGTATCGTAGAATTTTGATTGTGACTCCTGCATGTCATGTACATGTATTACATTAACTATAGATAGCGATAAGCACATGGCGAGGAATCAATGCAATGCTTGTTTGTAAAATGTCTGGTGACTTTATGTTTTGAGAAAGCAAGGACCTTTTACGGATAAATCTAAAGTTTAAATATTACATGTATTATCGTTATTATGTTTACAAGCAGAAAATTTTTGATTATGCATGCATCACGACAAACATTATACATGTAATAAAATGGAATTACGTAATTTAAAAATTGCGACTTATGTAATATCCCGGATTTTATCGTTATGCAATCGGTGGATTTGAAATATATGCGTTATAAGGGTATAATTCACCAGATGATCTTTTGCACAATGAATTATGGTAACCGCACTCAAGAAATTCCCAGGAAAAACCGAAACTACGTAGTTGTATATTAACATCATATACTAGAGTTTCGGGAGAAGCTATTTTTCAAAATCCTCCCTATAACGATAAGTCTAAACTATCCGAATCCTTAATTTGTAGATCAAATTAGGCGAACTAGTTCGCCGAAACACTATCATAATTACATGTATCATATACATGTACATAATAATAACAATGACTGGGAAATTACGTATTTTTAAATAAGATAAATACAATAATTATATGACTGATTTTTTATTATGCTAAAATGAAAATGGCTGCATAATGATAAGGGACGTGCCATTTATCACGTAATTAGTATGGTCCCCCATGTATCCATGGTGTGATTGTAACAACTAGGTAATAAATAGCGATACTGTATAACGATAAACCAAAAATCCCCGTTATTATAGTCGTTATACAAAGTCCAATGATGTTTTTATTTTTACATGAACGAAAACACGTTTCCGTTCTACAGAGTTTATTATACATGACATGCTATCTATTATTATTTATAATGTAATTGCTTTAGATATTAGAGATGGAAATCGATTTTAAAATGAAATCGATACCATTTTTGCTGATAATTGTTATCATGCTTAATATTAAGAGTAATACCAAATATTAAAAGTGGATGATTAGTTACATGCATCCTGATGAATTTAACAAGCTGTATGTCCCATTACACATGCAATGTATGACATATCAGTAAGTTATTAAATTTATTGCATAAATAATACATGTAGTAAACGATAAATGTTATCGCTATACAAACTTGAATGCTCTCTTTTCAGAATTTATTATATATGATTGCTTTAAATGATAGACTTTAGATATACCGCCGATACATGTACAATAAATATGTAAATGTAGTTCAATAAAAATATATCTGAATGATTGAGCACATTTTTATTTCGTAAATTTCTTTAAAGCAACACGAAGTGTCATAAGAACCAATAAAACTAATTATCAGATTCCACATTGTATGTATAATCTATACACTATAATTACGCGAAGATTAAATGTGGGGGATCATGATCCCCCACATTAAATGCCAAAGATTTTCGTTTTGGAGATTTACGATTTATAATGTCTATCATTAACGTTAATAGGTTACGTATGTACAGTAAGTTCCGACCGCTATCGTTGTCCAAAATTATAACCCAACTTTTGTGGATGTAAAACATAAGACAACAGCCGATCGTACATTGGTGAGACATTTTTAGGGGTTAAATTAATCATTAAATTTTACGTTAAAAAAATTGAAATAGTCTTTTTAACGTTCCGCTGAGCCAAAGTGGAATTTTGAAAAAATAGCTAATCATGTTCACTGTAGTAAGTCTACAGCCATTTATTGGATCCAAAAATACCATGAAAACCAAGATCTAAGTAGTGAAAAAAGATCGGGTCGACCACGTATCACAACAGCGAAGCAAGATGAACAAATAAAAAAGATGGTGAAGACAGAACATAACATAACGAGCACACAAATACAACAAAATATGGAAAAATGAGATGTTGAGATCAGTGTGAGGACTATTAATTGGCATTTTAATGAAGCTAGTGATAAATATACTGCTGAAATTTCCAAAGCCCTGCTCACAAAGAATCACCAAATGAAATGGCTAGAATGGGTGAAAAAATAACAGAAAGTTGATTGGAACCGGGTCTTTTTACAGATGAAGTATGTTTCAATTGTTTCAAGCAAAAAAAAGTTTGGCAATTCATCAGGCAAAAAAAAATATTTCGTACTATCAAGCATCCACCAAGAATTCACGTTTGGGGATGTTTTTCTGCTTCAGGATTTGGTAAATTGTGTGCTTTCAACAGAACCTTGATGCCAATTTTATGTGTCAAATCTATGAGTGTGATCTTTTGACTTCTGCTTCGGAGTTTTTTGGCAGTGATAACTTAGATTGGTTTTTGCAGGAAGATAATGATCTCAAGCACTGCTCAAAAATTGTGAAGAACTAAAAGGCAGAAAGAAAAATTATGGTGCTTTCCTGGTTATTAATGTCCCCAAATCAAAATCCTATAGAAAATGTGTGATGGTTAATGAAAATCAATATAGCAAAAAAAAATTAAAATGATTTATGGGTTAAAAGTAGAACTTGCAAAAGAGTGAAATTGCCTTTCACCTGAACTTGCCGTTGAATTGGTGGATAGTATGAAATGTCATATAACTGCACTCATAATTCAAACAATGTACTAAATATCATAGATAGTTATATATTCTTAAATAAAAAAATAAAAGTTAATTTTGCTTAGGGGGTGCCATTTATCACTTGATTTGTACCATGGATATATGGGATCAGTCAATTATCATGTCACATGTTTGTAATTATAATATATTTTCACATAATAAATCAAATTACTGGTCTCAAAGAAAAAAATCTAATAATTTTTTACAAAAATAAAACTCCTTTTTAAAGAGCAACGATCACTGTTCAATATCAAACTGTACCTTATACAGATCTAAAACTGTTTCTCTTCACGAACTATGACTATATTCTGCATCTTCAGCAATTCCGAAATTTGACATGTCAATTGCTGGAATAATTACTGAGACTTCTGCTATTGACAGAGACATATTAATTTGTTTTCAAGGTCAATCATATTTGGTTTGGTGTTTGTGGCACTTGTAATTTGCAATAAACTTCAAGATATGAAGGATAATATTTGTTATATTTATTACAACACAAATACTGGTATATTTCAGTTCTGATCAATGGACATGAGCGATTATATGGTGAAATTTTTAGCTTATCAAAGTATTGAAAAGTGTATATTTGATCGATAAAGTGTTCATTTTTATTTTTGGTAACTGGTGGGAGGAATTTATCATTTTTTCTAATAATACAGCAATATCAAGAGCTGGTATTTATAGCACTAATGATTCTTGCATTTTTTTTAGATCCATTGAATAATAATATAGCTGAGTGTGATTCTCAATCCATTCCCATGTCGAATGTGTAAGATTGGCAAATGGTTCTGTATTTTCATTAACATATTGTGCTATTACAGGTTTGCCATATATATTATCTTTATTCCAAATTTTGTACAATCTCTCTCCTGAAAATTCAAAGTTGCATCATGTTAATTCTTCATTTACAATATTGCCTTGAGAATTTAGATATACACCATACTCAGCCACAGATAAAGTAATTTCAGCAAGCTTTTCCGAAAGAGATAATACTATACTCTACAGGATTGTAAGCACTTTGATCCAGGACATGTGTTCAGATGGTTAAATAATCAAGATCTCAAAAGTGAAACAGATTGCAATAATCAATGATATTTCTTAAATATTTTGAATTTTGTTAGGCTCCTCATCAACAAGGAGAATTCAAATGAATTTAACTTTATTTTGTTTTAATAAAACAGAAACAATATGTGAATTTGCAATGAGATTCAATAAGTTTGCCATATAGAACGATGATAATGTGCTTGCAAAGTATTCTGATCAGATGAAAATACAAAGTTGGCCAGTTCGAAGAGTATTAGTAGGATCAATGAGAAGATATACTGATGGTATAAGTTTCATTTTGCTTTCTTTCAAAAAATCATGATCTTTAATAGTAACAGATTTATTTATTGTTTGGATAGTCTTAAATATATGATCTACTACAGGAATGCTCAAACCAATTTTTGCTTTGTTATCTTGAGAGATAACAAATAGATATCAAGCAGTAATGTTCATCGATGTGTTGTTTTATATCAGTTCTTGCTACTGATGCAAGACTAACTTTTGCAGGATAACAGTGACAACAAGTAGCAAAAGTATGTTTGTGTCAAGGCTCCAAATATGTGGATAAACACTGACGTAAGAGATAAATATTATATTTTTCTTCCAATGTTTCATGCAAATGTTTGATCGTATGAACTTTAATTATTGTCTTTCTTCTTTTAGTATGAGCAGCTCCAAACTCAATATAATGTGAATGTTATGCTACAGATCCGGATGTGAAATCATTGCTGATGGTCATCCAGATTTGTTATACTGTTCAATAATACTTTCATCATCAAGCTTTTTTTGTTTTTTTTTTTGCTTTAAGCTTTGCTTGAGCTTCTGCATGGTGCTTAAGCTTCTCTAGTTTTACTTTGTTTTCTTTTAGAATTTTTTCTTTTCTTCGATTTTGGTTATTAACACTTGTCTTAAATCATTATCGGGCATATATAAATATGATTGTTCATATTCATACAATTGTTGAGTTGTTTCTTTGACTTTGACAATTGCATTCTTTTGTCCAACTGCATTTTTCGCAATGATATTATTTTCATTAGATATCAACGAAAAATTTTTTGTTGAAGTAAGCACAGACGCAATGTAGAAACATTGTTGGAATTGGCAATTGGCGCTGAAACCATAAGATCATAATGTGACCAATTATATGAGGTAAAGTAACGAAATATGTTTGAATTTTTTCACGGATAATGGTTTCATCCTTGTTTTTGATTTGTTTCCATGCAGCTCGTGCTTCCCTTAATAATTCTTGGCGATTTGGAGTAGTGTTAGAGTGTCGCCTGTTTATAATATGTGTAGGCATTTGAAAATTCTTGGTACAAGTCAGAGAGTGATTTATAAAAGAATTGTTTTTCGAAATTAGGAGTTTTTAAAAAGCTTTACATGGTGTTAAAGTCAAGAATATCAAAACGCGTAAAACGCGTGATATTGATCTATTTAACCCCGATTTACATCATGCATTGATTTGATCTATTTAATGCCGATTTACATTACATTAATTTATGTCATGTTATTATGCATGATCACACTATACATGGATGGGTAAGGCTAAAAAAAAAAAGTAACTTTTAATTCGAAATAATTATCGACTACATTATCTATGTCGTCTAAACAAATTTCAAGCATGTCTAACCTTATTTAATTGCAAATGTATCTTCTTATAGTTTCTATTTCATTATATTTTTTGCTTTTATGAGTTTATGGTAAAATTGGTGATGGGAGCAGCAATTCAATTTTAATATGCTGGAATTAATGGAGGAACCGTATTTAGGTAAACAATTTTGCTCAAAAAGAATAAAGAGAAATATACTCTTTGGAAATGCAGACATCTCAAAAACGTTATCGTTAATCTTTTTATTTCACAGGTTGAATCCACATTTTTTATTAACGCAGGATTGCTAATTTCTGCACAAAGTTAACGTTTTGAAGCTTTAATTACTGTATATTGATATTCTATGATAATATTTTTTTGTCAGAAAAATTTCATAGTGAAATTAGTTTTATGAAATCATTTTAACTTTTAACGAGAAAAATTAATCTGAAACTAATCATGAGAATTCTATGCTAATATAAAAATAAAAAACAACGAATGAGTGAAGTGAACTCACTATATATGTGACAGAAATAGAACGAATATTATAAAATACATTTGAATAAATGAACACAGAACAGAGCTAAATGAGAAAGAGGAACAGAATTTTAGCTTAAAGCACGATATTCAAAATTTAACAATTTTTTTTTTCGATTCATAATTCGGTTAAAGAATCTTCTCATGGAATTTCATTATTGTTATCACCATCGCTATCGCCATAGCCGTCGCCGTCGCCGTTGCGATCGCTGTCGTTATCCCATCGTTATCATTATCGTCATCATTATCTTTACCGTTATCGTGATCGTGATCGATCTCTATTATTGGAACTTCAGAATTAAAGGTGCTATCATAATCAAGCAAAAGATTTTTTCGTTTAATATAGGACGCCTGAGTCCTTCAACAAAATCGGATTGAGTCTCAGATTCGTTAGGTTATTCAATTGGGTATAATTGATCGAGCCGAGTAATGGGTTCACTTATCGAGAACCAACGTTGAGCATTATTATCCATAGAAAAGCTTTTTTAATATTTACGTTTTTTTTGTTTTATGATTTTTTTCTTTGAAAACTCGAAGAGCACTTACTTTATAATAAAATTAGCTAGTCATTCCTTATTTCTATTAAGACTAATATATATTTTAATACACTATAACGAGTCTTTCTGTACATATTACAATTCACAGCACAATTTGCTTATAACATGATAGGACGTAAATTCTCAATACAGCCAGCGCTGGTCACAGTAATATCCTTTACAGCAGCATTTGAACAAAGTTTGCATAGTAACATTATGATGTTCGGTGATATTTTTTGATTTTGATGATTAGTTAACATTAACGTTAAACGATTACTTTTTAAACTGGATTAATGGTCACACACCCTATCGCTATCGCTATCACATTTTTCCATTGATTATCGAGAGGGTTGTTGTGTATTACAAATATTCCATTCTTTGTTTTATGCTCGTATCCCAAGG